GAAATCTGGAAAGTTACGGTTTTTTATGCGAAAAATGCGAAATTCAGTGTACACAAAAGTTAGTGACAAATACTTCCTATCTGTTTTTCAGCTCTATAATAGAAAGAATGTTTACAGTCACATTTTCTATCAATGCATACCAGGATTAATTGAAATTACTTTTTTTAACAAATAATACCCATTTATATAAGGTTGATTCATAATTAATACACGTTTTCTTTACCTCCTTTTTTATGAGCTCTGGATTTCAAGGTAGAACCAATTCCCTCAAAAAAGTTTCACAAGTTTTGAAAGAGCTTTTCTTCTAATTTCTCCCGTATATCTTCGCTTTCGTAGATCTTCTTTCTTTTCGAAGTTTCATGCCCTGAAACAAAAGAGACTAAATCTCAAAATTCTTTCTTTCACTTATTTTGGTCTAAATTCATGAAGAGTGGACGGCGCTACCTCAGAAAATATGCATTACGTACATGAGTTTTTGTACTGCGAAACGCATATTTGAACGGAATTCTCAAAAATTCAAAGCTGAGAAATACTATCGCAAACTTGGGTGGTAGTCGGTGCCCTTTCGTGCCGTATCAAAACCTAAGCAAGAGGCGATTGCTGAATTTTTACAACATACAGCAAGGGTAGACCTAGTTTGTGTTGTAGTAGAGAAACGATGACTTTTCCCATTTCTAGCGTAGAAAAATCAAATAATTTCAAGAAAGGCGGTTTTTAAATTCGCCGGAATGCCAGAAGAAAGTGCGTAAGCTGAAAAGCTGAAACCTTTCACACTGGTTTATCAAAGTCGCTGATTCCAAATATGAAATCGATGTTTCAGCCTAATGCTTCTTTCATAAGCTATGCCAGATATTTTTTGTAATATCTTTTTTGCAATATTTTCTCTCTCGAAAAAAATTGAGAAAAACCAAGCTTGCACTACCGCTCAAGGGACCATTGGCTACCGATGAGTAAAATGTGTGCCATCCTACTACATTTCAGAGCAGTTATGCTCTCTCAAAGTAGAAGTTTCCATAAAAACATTTCTAACATTCTTCAGACTGAACATCGTACTTGTAATTTCTGCTGTCATACAAAATTAAGTTTGGCGTAGCCAAAGACTTGCTGTTTACAGCAGTTTTTATCGAGCTCAAAAAGGTCTTCTCTGAACGGCATCATAGTTTTAAGTTGAATTTCGGAAAAACTGCTTAAGTTATGAATCAACCTAATAGTATATTTATTTATAGCGCAGTTTTATCCTCTTAGTGATCAAAACAGAACGAACCGTAGAGGGAGAATGAACTCAACTAGCATACCCCAAACAGAGTCCAGCACTTAAAACATTCCCCTTCTCATAGATATAATAACATTCCGATTCTATCTCATACGAAGCAGTGTTTCAGTTAGTTGCAGAAGTATAGTTGTTCCTGCTTGATAGCTTGTTTTCCTGCAGCTACAATAAAACGAGTACCGAGAGTCACCATTTCGTTTCCTAAATATAAAGATACACACAAAAAAGTAGCAATCCACCCTAAAATGCATGAACTTTATAGAAATATTATTTCATATTTTTCCGAGAAAAAATGCACTCTTAAATCAAAAAAGATGACTTAAGAAGAGACGATGTGGTAAGATACGAATTAACCTCCTGTTCAGCTAGACTTCAAGGTAGTGGTGCTATTCTTCGGTTTATGGCGATGGGTGGTTTGCTGCGAAAAATCTCATACATTTGGTAAAAGATGGCAAAGTCTGTGATATAATCCATCTTCATAATAAAATTCATCATAAGGATACCCTACAGCAAAATAGTGAAATGACCAGAAAGTACACATGCACTTATTTTAGCGTGTGCATTTTATAGCCAATCCGTCTGAAGCGAATGAAAAATTGTAGATTGAGAAGCCCGTAAGGTCCGAAGCACAAATTTTACGTATCTACTTTATATCGAGTCAGTGTACGAAGCCAATTTTCTGGAGATTAGGACCGTCCCAAAACAATGCATTTCATTTTAGGGCAGCAAAGCAGGTTTCATTCTAGAAAGAAAAGTTCTATGAAATCAAATAAAATTCAACTCTTCAACAAAATAAACTGTCGTGCTCTAATAAAAATACTGAAATCCAATAATAATCTACAAAAAAAATAAAGTAAACGATGCTCTCAAAAGGAAAATTATCAGGTTGTCTCAAAAGTTACCTCCCTCCATTTTCAACTAAATTAAGCTGTTTGCTTTCTTTACAGACTTAGGATACCATTCGATAGATCGGAGCATCTCTATAAAAACACCACCAAAAGTCCACCTAAGTTGTAATCCAGGTCAAGTTTGGAGCCAAAAATCAAAATTCGGCACCCCAAAGATCGTATTTCCTTCCAAAAAATCCCCACGAACTTGGCCTTTGTATAATCATATATGTATATGGTCACATAATAATACCCAAAACTGTATCTGGTGGATTTTTTTAGAGGCTCAAAATTGAGAAACAATGGGGTCCGAAAATGCCAAAGTGTCACTTTCTTCGGATTTTTAATGTGAAACTTGTTATTTCTCATTATAAGAGCAACAGAGGTAAAGTTATGATTATGCTTAGTAAGTCTTGTTAGTATACAACGACATATGTGGGAGGAGCCGGGGAGGGCTTTTCCATTTTTCATTTTTTCTTGTTTTTTCGCTTTAAACGCGGAAAAAATGTCGCAAGTGCATTTTTAGATATTACCATATATTAGGTTGGCACGAAAGTTCTTGCGTAATTCAAACAAAATTCAATAACTTCTCAAAGACTAAACCTAAATTCACAATCTTGTATGCTAAAAATATTACAAGCCTTACGCTTCATAATGGATGTTTAAGCATAAGATTCCGTGAGCTGGACATCAAGAACGAAGCTCTCGAATAAGGCGCTTCAAATTTTGCGATTTTGAGTTTGGTGCCAGAAAATCGCAGAGTGCCGCTAGCTAGCCGAAAAAAATCTGTAGAATTTACTTACACAGCAGAAGTCCATACGTTGTTTTAGCAGGCTTTGATCTCGCATGGAAACGCGAAAACAAAAAATTTGTAAAAATTCTCATTTCCCAGGACAAATCCCCTCATCGCACTAACTTTTCCACAGAAACACAGTTTGCAACCAGAAATTAGACCTAGTGCCTATTTAGAGCCTTGCGACGCTTTCCCGATAGTAAAAAAGTGTTTTCGCCGGAAAACTGCGGACATGAGGGGATTTTTTTCCACAAAATGACTTATTTCACAAATTTTTTGTTTTTGCTTCACCGTGCAAGATCAAAGCCTTCCAAAGTTACATATGGACTTTTGTTGTGTAACTAAATTCTGCAAATTTTTTTTCGGCTAGCTAGCGGCACTCTACGATTTTCTGGCACCAAACTCAAAATCGCGAAATTTGAAGCCCCATATTCGAGAGCTTCGTTCTTGATGTCCAGCTCACGGAATCTTATGCTTAAACATCCATTATGAAGCGTAAGACTTCTAATATTTTTTGCATACAAGATTGTGAATTTAGGTTTAGTCTTTGAGAAGTTATTGAATTTTGTTTGAATTACGCAAGAACTTTCGTGCCAACCTAATATTAGGTCGTTCCGAAAGTAATGTCGTTTTTTTCAAATGAACGCCACATTTCGTGGAATCAAGTTTTTCAAGAGATTTTAGGAGCATTCGATGCAGCATTTCATCCTCTTTCTAATGGTTGTAATTTCATTGCATAATTTTCATTAGGCTTCTAAAAAATTAACAAAATCTGCAACTCATGCTTTTTGCCATGGTCAAGTTCGGCAATTTTTTAAAATTTTTGTACCTATTCTCCGAAGAAGTACAAGTAACAGTTAGATAGAGCAGACCCTATAGGACACAGCGTAATTTTTTCTTTTCCTTAGCTTGCTTCTTAGAGTTTCTGGAATTAGTTTTAAAATGCCATCAAATCCCGTATTTGGTCAACTCAAACCTCACAGAACAACAACCGGCAAGCATCTCGGGTGTCATTCGGCGCAGCTTTTTCTCCTCTTTTTACCAGTTGTTTTTGTTTCCGATTTATCAAGTTTTCCGAGATAAAATCACCATAATTCAGGTTTTTCAGGGCGTCTCTGGCTGTACCCGGAATTTTCGAGAGTTGCTAATCTGAAGCGGTAAACGCTCATTTGCTTTGTAAAATTAGTGTAAAACCATAATCCATCTTTGTAAGTTTCAAAATCCGACGATTTCTTGGTGTTTGATGCATTTGTGTCTGAGACGAGCCTGCTAAAATTCGGTGGTTCCATCAAAAAATCTATACAGAAATTATGACGAGCTCTGAAAAGTAGAAAAAAGTTGTGCTGTTTCCCGTAGAGTTTGTTCTATCCATATATAACTTGGACTCCTTCCGGGGGTTGTTATAAAAATTTGGAAAAATTGTGAAACTTGGCCATCTCAAAAAGCATAGGTCGCAGATTCCGATGATTTTCCCAGAGGTTATTCAATTTTGTGCGGTAGTCATATAACCATTAGAAAGAGAACGAAATGCTGCATCAAATGCTACCAGAATCACTTACATATCTTTGTTCCACGAAATGTGGCGTACGTTTGAAAAAAGCGATATTACTTTCGGAACGACCTATACAATTTTCAGTTTCAATTCTTTTTCGCAAAAATCCAAATTTTTGTGATAAATTCTTTTTTCGATTTTGGCTTCAAACATCACATGAAGCGCAACCTAGACGCATATTTGGCGGTCATTTTGTAGAGCTTAATTTGCTCTATCGAATGGTACCCTAAATCTACCAGGAAAACAAGAACAGTTTGGTTTATTCAAAAAAGGAGTTTACTTTTGGGGCAATGACTGCAGATACGATTCTCCTGAGAAGTATAATAACTTCAAGCCAAAGAAACATGAAACAAAGCAACTTATTCGATTGCCTTCTGCATTGTCGATGGGTACAGCCCAATTCACAATCGTTCATATCTGCTTAAGAAACTATAGCGAGTTCTGAGAAATTCAAAAGCTAAGTTTTATCACTTCATAATTTCCGTTTTTCAGGTTGGGGGAGCAGTGGCAGTTGGGGAGCAGCCGATAAAAGGTCTCATTTCTCCAAGTGCAGGTGCAAGGATGACTGTCGCTGAGGCCTTGACCAATCTCATATCAGCTCCAATCACAGACATAAGGGTGATTTTTTTGCAAAATATAATTCAATCAAATTTGGGAACAATCTTTCGCGAAGTAAAAATCAAATTGATAAATTCAATAATTAGATATTAGGTCGTAACATGAGTTTTGTGTCTATTGAAATAATTTCCACCTCTACACATCTAAATTACACTAAAAATAAAGGCAATTTTGTGGTGGCACTCAAACTATACTTTTTCGTTTTCCTTCAAAAATTCCCTCATCCTTGTTTTTATGCTCTCAGAATTTTTATGGATTTCTGGGGACTTTAGCATTGATAGCCAGTCTCTCAAGGCTCCTAAATGATGCTAGTTGGCAATTAAAAATAATTAGGAAAAATTCTAAAAGATATAAGAATATTTCATGTGTGAAGTTTATATATCAAGAAGATACAACCATTAATTCAATTTATTCGAGAAAAAAACCCTTTAAAAACTTATGAACGTTTTTTTCTTCAAGTGTAACAAAACTTACGTTACGACTCAATAATACGCCTACTTTTCAAATACCTTCCATTGAGACGAAAAATATGAAAACAAACATTCTCAATCCACATTCATCAACTATAAATCATCAATCTCCATCTATCTTGCAAAAGTAATTGTGTAAGATGATTTTCTGGAAACAGATTCAGGCAAAACGAAAAAAGAATCCTCCGACATATAAGCATCTCGTGTTTTGCAGTATCAACAGAGCGTTGACACAGCGCATTAGTACTTTCACCTATTGTCCGTATCTATACGTGACATCGATTGTACAGTGTGTACAGTCCGCGAACGAAACCGTGCTCCATTGGCGCAGCTGGTTAGCGCGTGGTACTTATAAGAATGAGAAATGCCGAGGTCGGGAGTTCGATCCTCCCATGGAGCAAACGTTTTTGCGAACATTCCATGCAGTTCCTCGCATGTGAGAGCTGTGTGAAGGCGCAGCTTCAGAGCTACCCTCGTCTTTTCTTAGAATAAGAGCATATATGGGTCTTAAAAAACATATGAGAATATGAGAATGTACATGAAAATATGAAAATATGTGAAAATTGTTTAGATCTGAACGAGAATTTTTGTGATGTTGCTGGGCATTTTCCAACAGTTTCCATCGGAAAGGTTTTATTCAATGCTAGAATTTTGTCATGAAGTTCTGCTGCATTTATATGAATCACTTATTATTTACCATTTATTATTTTTATTTTATTCATCAAAATTTTGTATTTATTGTTTTTAGTCTCCGTATACCATTTATTTATTCTATTTTTACTCATTTTGAGCAGTTCTATTTTTTGTTTTTGATCGATTTTTCTTGTGGAAAATTAAAAGATCTCAATATTGGAATTATAAGCGAGTATTTATTATTCAAAACGATTTAGGACGTAAAAATGTCCGGCAACTGGATGTGGGCTGCTAAATGTGAAGGCGAAGGAGCTCGACTTGTGGCCGCATGTGATGCCTTGTGTAAAGTATGATTAATTTTCCATTACACCTCCAGAACCTTATTACATAGACGGAAATTTCAGGCTTTAGCAGAAGTTGGTTGCGCCATCGATGGAGGGAAAGATTCGCTAAGTATGGCGGCTAAAGTTGGAAACGAACTGGTAAAGGTAAAGTATTTTTAGCAAAGTCTCCATCTGCTAAAATACTATAACCTTCAAAAGTGAACAAATACTAGTTTTGTGAACTTTCGGCTTTTTTTACATGAAACATAATATCGTAATTGTACAGATCCTCGATCTTTTCCAGGTTTTTTTCCGAAATTTTCAAAATTTCCAAGCTTTTTGCTCGTTTTCTTTGCTTATCTTTGATTTTTTTATTTGGTTTCATATCACCTATAACATGCCATTCTAAATAGAAGAAGAAACGAATTCTGTCATTTTTGGCTACGTAGTCATGCAGTCAAAAATTGTTCGTTTTTTGAAAATGATTCTAGGCCCCGGGCACCTTGGTACTATCCGCTTACGCCCCTTGCCCTGACGTCACAAAGGTCGTCACGCCAAATTTCAAAGGCCCAAGAGGTTGGACGCGATTTTTTTTATCAACACGCCGTCTCAACACTTCCTTTTCGATTAATTTTTCGATTTTTTGTTGGAACTGACTGGTATACACAATTTTCAGCAGGCTCACAATCCACTTGCATCATCTACGTTCGTATGGGAAGTGACCTAAACCTAAATAGGCTCGGCGGTTCAGCTCTTGCTCAAGTTCTTCGCCAGGTGACCCCTAATTCGTCCCAGATTTTCAAAAGTCCTGAAGATTTTCGTAGATCGGTGATGATCCGGCTGACATAGAGGACATGCCTGCTTTGGCCCGGACATTCACAGCTATTCAGAAATTGGTAGTCGATGGTCTCATACTTTCGGGTAAAAAAGACAAATATTCTTAAAATTGATATTTTGACGCATTCTTTTTAGCCCATGACGTATCAGATGGCGGTTTTATCGTAGCTCTGCTCGAAATGGCCTTTGCCGGAAACACTGCCATTCGAGCTGAATTGAAATGCGACACAGGTCCATTGAGGAATTACCCCGTATCGAACTGAAAACAATAAGGGATATGTATTTTAGATCCACTAAATTATCTTTTCGCAGAAGAAGCTGGAGTATTTTTTGAGATTGAGCATGAGCATTTGGCTAAGGTTGTGGAAGAAATTGAAAAGAATGCAAGCATAATGGTCGTTGGAGAGGTTTATGCTGTTTATGGACCGGATGCAAAGGTTCCTTCATTTTTGGATTCATAACTCCTCATACTTACAAATTCGAAATGAATGGTATTTTTGTATTTTTGGTTGCTTGAAAGGTCTAAACACATTGTGACCATGACATGAAATGTATGATGCTTGTATTTAGGCAGTAAATGATGAAATTGTTATATTTTCCACTCACAACCATCAATCTCAGCAACCTATAAGAATGAAGCCTTTTTTTCACGAAAAAGCTTTAAAAGCTTGACTTTTCTAAATTCACGTTCAACTTAGAACGCTGAGCTTATTTTCTGAACTTTATGACTCAAAAATGCTCTACTTATTTTTGATATTTCTTCCATCTCATCTCATACATTTAGATCGAGATCCTGTTGAATGGAGAACATGTAATCAACGAAGGCTTGGTTTCATTGCGAGAAGTTTGGGAAGAAACTTCCGACCGGCTAGGGCTTATGCAAACTGATGCCACTTGCTTAGAAGAAGCTAAGGAGGCAAGTTAAACACTGTGAAGATAGAATATCATGAAGAAAAATACTTCTTTTAAGGAAATTTTGTCTGCGCAGCTATTTTTGCCTAGATCAAAAAATAATTGCCAACTGAAACGAGAAAAATTATCGCTACCGATCAGCGGTACTCATCCTCTTCCACTAATTTGACCACTCAAATCAGAATTGTTATGAGTTAGGATATTCAAACATATGCAGTTCCATGAGCATCATGGAATTTCGAAAAGAAAGTTGACCAGTATAACAAATTAAGTTAATATCTGTGAGAATGCGAGGTTTTGCTAATAGTACAAAACTTGAACTTGGACTACCTGTCGTAAATCTCGATATTCCTATAGGCTTTCCCAGGTCTTGTAAAGAAATCCTGAACTTTAGGCTCGCTCCACCACAAAACTAGTAGCTTACTCTGCTCCATTTGAATGGAAAGCTCCTGCTCTACCGCCGAACTCGTCCCAACATCTTTCACAAGGTTAACGCATGATTATGAACAATACCATAAAAAACTTAAAATTATTGTTTCAGCTCCTCGAGTGGCAATTATCCGTGAAGAGGGCTCGAATGGTGACAGGGAGATGGCTGCAGCATTCGCCATGTGCGGATTCCAGCCATACGATGTCACCATGACTGATATGCTGTCCGGACATTCCCTTGACCAATACAGGTAGGCTCTTCAATCGTCGCTGTTTGGAACTCAATAGCCTCAATTACTCCAAACTAGAATAATATCAAGTTGAATGGATCAAAAATGAACGACTCAGACAACTGACCGGAACTTCCGCAAAACGTTTGGGAAAGTTCCGCTGAGTCACCTGTGGAAGTTCCGCAAACGTGACGGAAGTTCCGAAGAATGCGAACCACAGTAGCAAAAGAGAGCATCTAAGCGAGATCCGAACCTTGTTCTATTGACTGCGAGACTCGCTTACTATTCTCTGCACCACGAATGACATGTTCGACAATGCACCCTAGTTATTGGCGAGATAACGTCGTAAAAGATAACACATTCAAAAACCTGCGAAAGTGCTGGCATGTCAAAGTGCTGCGGAACCATTGGCATTTTTCGGAAGTTCTGCAGCCTTTTGTAAAAATCCTGCGAAAGTTCTCGTTTTCAACTGTCTGACGTGAAAATCCAGCGAAAGTTCCCATTTTCAACGTTTCCACTTTTGCGATAGTAAACAAAACCTGCGGAACGATGCAAATTCTGCTTGTCCAGCAGAAATTCCGGTGAATTTTCTGAGAATGGACACTTTCAAACCCAAATCATCCTCCCTTTCCTTGAGGAAAAGCATTCTCACTGAGAAAAAATTTTATAAACATTTTTCGCTTAAATGATGTGCATTCCCGATTTCTTTCCTGCTGCCAAAAGATTCTTCATGTATTCAAACGCCTTATGGCAACTGCCTCATTTCTCCATTTGTAGGAGTTTATTTTTTCATCAAAAAGTCCGATTCTTTACTGCAACTGATTATGCGTGAATTCAGGGTCCTCGCTTTCGTTGGTGGGTTTTCGTATGCTGATGTTTTCGGCTCCGCGAAAGGTAAGATTCCAAAGCATAATTTTCATTGATCTATTGTAGACATTGTAATTGTGTGCACAGTACAGGTGTCTTTCAACCAACTCCGTAATCGAAACAGCTCTATAGCAGTGGCCGTCAAAGGATTTCCATTTTGGGGGGGGGGGTGACAAAAAATTTCTTTGGAGGAGGTGCGGGCTTCAGCCAATCACTCCGAAAAATTATTGGGGTGCTTCTCAAATTTTCGGCAAATTTTTGAAAAAGAGGGGCATCCATGCCTCCGGAAATTTTTCCTAAAAAGCTAAATTGGATCTTTAAAAAGTTTTAAAATATTTCAGTTATTTAGAAGTATAAAGAAGTTATGCACATTTTTATAACTCATGTGGGTAACAAAGATTTCGCAAGGTTCGCCACTGCTTTATAGGATGTTCTATGTAGATATCTGAATTACAATCCAAGACAAGAAGGAATTTGAAATATCAAGAAGATGAGTGAATGTTTTGGGATTATTTTATACAATGATGAGCTACTATAATTCTCAGTCGGTTCTAATCATTGACTACAAGTCGACAGGTGCTTTATGGTTGAGCAGCATCCAGGGATTAGCATGGCAAAATTGGCGTTTTCAAAATTGTTTACAGTTGTCATAACACTAGATCACTTAAGGCTGGGCAGCTGCAATTCGCTATAATCCAGCAGTTCGCCAGGAATTCCAAAGATTCCGGAAAAGATCCGATACCCTTTCATTTGGCGTGTGCAATGGCTGCCAACTGATGGCCTTACTTGGATGGATAGGGGAATATGGTAAGTACGGGAACATGCCAAAAATAATAATAAATCCGTTTGCCTCTTTCACTTTTTTCATCTTTTCAGAAGGCACTCCCTCAGTCTTCCTGGCTGAAAACCGTTGCGGACGGTTTGAGTCTTCATTTGGCCCGGTACGAATTGAAGATTCGAGCTCAATCTGGCTTCGAGGAATGGAGGGTGCAATTCTGGGACTGTGGAGTTCACACGGGGAAGGTGTGGTCCCGCGGTGTTTATTTAACACTCTATGTCTTGTTTCCAAAATAAAATTGAATTTTTCGTGGTTAATGCGGGGGATTCTTCGTTTTCTATAAAATACACCTAGAAATTTTGATATTATCTCATTATAAATTTCTTTGCTAAATTTTTCGTCCAGACATTGTTTCAACTTGACAATTCTGCTGGCCCACAGGCCTTCAAATAAGTAACGCAAATCTTTAAGCTGTCCGTTGAAAATGTCACAATCAAGTATTTGAAACATCCAAATATATCGATTATTCAGCGTCGTTCGATAAATTTTTTCCGAGGGAAGGGGGAAGCACAAAAACTTTCGATTTCTGGTCTTTTAAAGTTATTTGCATGCCTATAACCGTGAATTTGTGAAGAAAGAGAAGCTAGCGGCAGCCACGCCAAGTAAAGTTTCAATGAAGTCAGTATTAAGATTTAAGATATCCAGAGATGAAGATATCCAGATTTTAACATTTTTTTTTGAATTTTGATTACTTATAATCAAAAAACCTGCGCAGTTAAGATCCATGTAGGCTACTTTCTAATGAGACAATCTTCACTTCCCCTCTAGCATTATGAAAGTTAGCATACAGGGTTACTTGTAAATAATCAAGACGTTCTTCAAAAATTTTCATAAACTCGATTTGACTTCGTAAAAAAATTCATTTGACGTGACGGTGCAAGTTTGAAAATTCTATTATGAAATGTTATTTTTACCACTTTTCGTTATCGATTTCTGATTTAAAATGATTTTGATTGATTCCGACAAATCACTGGTAACCTCTAATAACTAGTATCAATTGAAAAACTGTTGAGAAATTTTCATATCTTTTTAGGCAGATTCACCTATCGCTGTCCTGAAGTCTTCGATTCCCTTCGTAATTCCCGCCAAATTGCTGTTCGTTACGTTGGCAGCACAGGGGAACCCACGATGCAATATCCATGGAACCCAAACGGCTCCGACGATGCCGTGGCTGCCATCTGCAGTGAAGATGGACGGCATTTGGCTATGATGCCTCACTCGGACCGGTAATTTGAAGGAATTTATCGTCCAATTTATCGGTAATATGGTGAAATTCAGGTCATTCCTTTCGTGGCAATGGCCAGATTATCCGAGGGACTGGAATGCCGAAAACTGTGCAGCTCCATGGTTGAAGATGTTCCAGAATGCATATTCATGGGTTACGGAATCCACCAGATCAAATAGTAATTGTGGAGTGCTATAATTCATACCTTCGTTTGCCTTCTTTTCAATCAAAAGTCTGGTGATCTCAAATTGTACGCTGTTTAAACTGGGTATTTTCAAGATGCTCATGCTTTCATGTCTACTCAAATAAAATGGATCCCCTATATCTATTTATGAGACGACAGTTTTAGAAAAAATGGTGACCATGCAAACCCTATTCAACCTAATTTCTCCAATGTGTTTGAATAGTAATCTATCATGATTATTCATCTTTCACTACGCTACAGTTTTACAAAGAACGTGAGAGCACTTCACAGATTGAACTCACTAAAAATGGATTTTGCTCTAACAACCATTAAGTAGTACAATTGTTTTGATTGAAGACTTCTCACTGAAGCTTGCTATCTCATTTTTGACTGTTACTTGCAGGTTTTATGATAAAACTAGATTTGGAGCATTGCCAAAACGAACTAATGCTGAAAACAAACAATCAATAAAGGCTGTCATATGCAGTCTTATAGCTTTCTTAGATGTTTTTTGCCATGTGATCATGTTAGGAACCCTTCTTAAAAAAACTGCAATGGTATAGCTTTTGTGCGCATCTGAAAGTAAAGGATACCTTGATTTCCCGGATTCCGTGATCGCCATTTTCGCAAAAAGTTCCCTCAAATATGAAGATCTATGATTAGGCATAGATTGTCTATCTCCAAAGAAAAGAGCCAGATCATTCGAACCCTATTCCCTGCCCAAAACCGTACTCCTACTGCAACAAATTTTTTTTACGGGAGAATGGGTGGGAGCGAAGGGGGGGGGGGGTAGCGACGAAAGTCCTCCTGAGCAAGATTAGCAAGATTCGTTTTTGTGAAAAAAAAAACAAAAAAGAATGCGTAACTCCAGAAAAACCAACAAATTTAGTTGATTTGGAATTAGGAATTATTATCCTTTAGTTACAAGCAAAAAAGTAGCCTAAAATAGCCTGTTGCATGGATTATCCGAAACTGATAGAAACACATAGATTTCCTAATCTTCACTTATTTCTATTTGAACAAACCCTGGGAGAGATATCGATCATACAACCGATAATGCTTCCATTGTTTACAGCCTTTCTCTTGATAATTATAATTTCGGCCATATGCTACTACTAAGAAAAACTTCAATGTTCAAAGTCATTATTTTGCAACACATGTTGCTGACAATGCTCAAGATTTACATCTTTCATTTCATGAATAAATCGATGCCGCAAATGTGAACGGAAATCTTTATTTAACACATGATATTAAGTGATACATACGAAGAATTCCAGACTCGATGACCATGAGAACACAAATAATTCTTCGCTTTTGCTCATGATGTTTACTCAGATATCGAACCGGATGTCATCTGTTAAAGCTAGAAACATGACATCACTTCCAGAGGCAAAGGCGACAATGTCAATTTTAGTTCGAAATACTCACTTCATGAATTGTAAGAGTAAATCAAGGCTAGAAACGGGAAAATTAAGAAGGCATTCGGTCATACCATGGCTACCGTAACCTTACAGTAAGCTGCAATATAAAAGCATTACCTCCTCGTTTCACAAAAGCATGACGTCTGCAACTCAGATGAGAGTCTTACGAAGTAAAATCGCTATTATGTCGTTGTTAAGATCACATAACTTACTTTGGTTTTTTGATTATCCCCATCCCCCGTCCCTTCTCAGCAAATACCTACCCCACGTCGATCGTTATCCAATAAAATCCTCACTGCTCATTAATGATCATACCTATCCAAAAGTATCTGAAGAATCTTTACACATAAATTTGAACATATTGCTTGTTTTTGTTGTTTTTTTTTTGGAAAATTTCTGTCACACCATGAAATCATCGGTGTGAATTCAGAAAATTTCTGTTCGACATTGTCGCCATCGCGCCGAATTTTTCGGAATTTGCAGCAATAAGTCGTTTAGTCAAGCGTTACTGAAGGCACAAAAAACATAGACAGTGCAAGCTTAGCATAGATTATGATTAAATACCAAAAATGATCAAAAAACAAAAAAATCGCGACTAGGTAAGGTAGTGCATAATTAGACAATATCAGACACACATGTGACGAGTTTCTTTCCATCAAATGTGGTCTTGAATTGTTCAGGAACAGGAAACTCTTCAAAATCGCCATCTGCGCCGGGGATGAGCAGATTCATTTCACTAGACTTACTGGTTACGATCTCCGCAGATTTCGATGCTTCGCTGAGATACACCTGACACCCGTCGGTCTTCTGTATGGAAAGTGTTGGCATTTCGCCAAGACTCTGGAGCTGTATGCTTTGACAGTTGATCGCTTCACATTGAGCCACTATAGCATCGAACACGATGGAAGTTTTCTTACAACTGTCAAGAGTGATAGAGTTCACTTTCCCTTTCACGACGATGACGGAATCTTGACATTTGTAAATATAAATGCTTTGTTTCTTGTCAGTAGCATTTATGACCACATTCGGATTGCCAACTACGTACTCCACATCCCATTTCTTGCCATCTTTCAGTTCAATGACTGGTGGATGATGTACCGGGGCAAAAGCGGCAGCTTGCTTCTGTTGATGGTGTGGATGATGCACGACCGCTGGCTCATGACCACGCAGAGCTGGATTTTTGTGCGTCTGCATATCAGCCGTTACTTTTCGAAGCCCAGCGGTAATGGCTTCACCTTTATTAAGCTCGGCAAACAGCGCGTCTCTGCTCGCTTTGCTGTCAGCAGTGGCAGGAGAAGGGGTGGACGTATCCTTGAGAAAAGATGGAGGAGGTGGTGGTGGTGGCGGTGGAGCGGAAGCACCAGCAGCAGGAGAAAGATGACCACCGGTAGCTGCGGTATGGGTGTCAGGTGGTGCTCCACACCCAGGAGCACTATTCCATACAAGACCAGTTGTATGATACTGCCGAACAAACGTTTGCATTGTTTCCAGCAGCTCTTTCCAGGTCCTCGCCCATTCCACATGTTTTTGATCGCCATCTTTGAACTCCTTCAGAATGCGATTCACATAGAACATGGCAGCTTCCAGCATTTCCTTCACATATGGAGCGGGAGTTTTCTTCACAAGAATCCAACCCACTGCAGGGATTCCCTCGGCAACTGCACAGAGATGATTATACTGAGGTGTGTTGCGCTTTGAATCCTTGAAAGAAGTGATGTCAGAGAGAGCACCGACCATAGGAGCAACAAGCTTCTGCACTTCGTCCCGGGGAGGTTCCGCACGGCTTGCAGCTGTCCACAAAAAGTTCCTCAGCAAATCAAACACATGCGTAGCCTTGTCACTCATCGTCAATACGTCACCTCCAATTTGCTTAGAAAGAGCGGACCATTTTTCCACAACATCTGATAATGCAGTATCATACGCTTTCACATGAGGGGGAGGAGAATCCGTAGAACCAGCGGCTAGATGCGCAGGTTTGGGAGCAGGCTGGGGTCGTGTAGCACCAAGAGTCTCTAGCTTCGCAGTGGCTTTCTCAAGCCTAGACACCAGCTTGTCCAACTTCTCCATCTTTACCTCAAAAAAAAAAAACCCTCGAATTTGCTACCCTCAATGGTCATAAAAATTGAGTTCCAAAGAAACGATGGAAAACCGTTTTCAAAATTTTCCTCTCAACAACATATGTACCCATAATTTACTCTGAGTATTACTTGAACATATTGGAATAAAACCGGTCTAAAACAACAACTAACACCGTGGGATACGATACAAATGAGGAGATGTGGATGAACATGAATGACAAAGAAATGCTGCAAAGCAATAAATAAGAACAAATTCATGCACAAAAAACAACACACAAAACAACACGTTGAAGTGAGTGAGCATGGCGAAGGTCGAATGGGAAGTAGTATCTCGAAGATGCACCGTTTAAAAACCAATTTCAATCGCTTTGCTAAGACCATGGTGCGACCAATTGTGAACGAACACCTCCGCTCGATGATAGAACGCTCCGAGGGCATCTGGAAAAGGGAAAAAATAACTCAAATTAGGATGCTAATTTTTCAAAGAGTTTGTCTCAGTCAAGAACTGTCGCAGAACGACTTTCCAATGACAGCCGTTCGTTAGCATATAACTTGCATCGATAGAAGATAACCTGATTGGAAGCAATTGCTCTCGCACCACTATCATTGCCTAGTGCAAACAAACATTGTTCTCATCTATGCGACAATGTCAATAAACCCTGAATAGGAAGCGCGCGACAACAAGATAAGCTTGTCTGCAAAAACAAAGGCGACGTGCGGCTTCTAGACAAGATCTTGGAATTTTGATCAGCTGATACCGCAAAATTACCGCAATTATTTGGAAAAGTGAGATGTAAAAAGCGCCGTTTAAAGGAGCTATTCCGAATGTCCATCGGTGTACTAAGCATGAAATCTCCAACTGAGATTTATCACTGAAGTTAGCTGCCGCTTGCCATCACCTGCTTTTATATGTTTCCAAACCAGCAATTGAACCCTGCACACAATATTCAAAACCTCACAAAAGTAAAAGGATATTTCGTCGACAAGTGCTTAGCTCTATTGTTATCCGCTTAGCTGTGAAAAGAATATAGAATGGTCGAACAATAGAGCTAAGCACAAGAAGTAAAAAATGGGCTTCGAGCGACAATGAAGCAATACGAAAATAATACATGAAAGGCACACAATTTTTTATGAACACACCTTATAGGTGGCATTATGCAAAACAGTCTGGGGAAATGTGGCCGTCAGAAAGTAAGCTCATAGGAATACGAAATAATAAAACTGAGTTAGTTATGCACAGATGTTACAACATTATCTGATCTCTGTGTAGTACTAAGGAAATCAAAAGATTTTCTTGTGTATTCAAATTGAGCGCAGAACATGACGAGAATTGTGAAACCTTGTACAATCCAAAAATAAGAAGAAAACAGAATATAGGTCCCACCTATGGCAATTTGTATAATATCTTTCGCTATTTCGTAGACAACGCCAGCCGTGACCTTGAGTGTATCAACAAAGCTGCCAAATCGAGCGCGACCATCCTTCTCCCACCATTTTTCGATTTCTTTTCGCTACAATGAGATGACTGAGTTGAAACAATCTTGAAGCACTTATAAATTTAGAGAAATGTAATGCAAATAAACATGTTAGTCATCTTGGGTTGTAATGATTATTAGGAATTTTAAAAGAAGGAGCCAAAAAAAAAATCATGATTAACATAGTAATCTTACCTTAGCTTCTAAAAATCGTACAGTTTTCAAAGAGCTATCCACAATGAAAGCGTGAACCTTGTGATAATATCTGGAAAAAAGTTCTTGATGTAACAAACACAAAAAACAAATGGAGCAACGCAAGAAGATACTCAAATTAGAATGGGATTTAATGTGAGTAACGACTTACAACAAAATCTTGTGTGAAAATCAAGGGTATCTCAAAACTGCCAGAACGTTTTACCTGTCAAAAGCAACGCCGATGTCTGACTTGACAAATTCCCGATAATATTCGTTCCATTTCTTCTGTAGAGCATAAATAGACGGTTGTACTCGACCCCAGTAACCGTGAATTACGGTGCCATACGTGTTCCGAGCGTTAGTCAGGAACAGCGGAGAAGGGCGTTTGAACTCAGATAACTTCGTCAAATCCGCACAAAGAGGCTAAAGTCTCAAGGTGAATAATGCAGTGTGAGAGGTACAAACTAAGTTACCTTGCTACCCTTGATTGTTTTTGCACCATCAGCACAATTCAGAAGAATTGCAACAGTAGCGGCAAGAAATGCGATAACACCAAGGTAGAAAGTGTATTTAAACAGTAATCGAATCACTGAACGATAATGGAATTAACGTACGATCAGCGATTTTCGAAGTAAAAGAGTACACCAATGGCAAAAAGGAAGGAAAATGTAGAAGTAAAAGAGATGTACAACTTCAAGAAGAAGCAAACGAGTCACTCACTTCTGGAAAGACGTCCACGTTCTGACCTCAACGGTCTCACCACTTCCTTTTCCTTTCTCGTTTCTTTGGCTTGCGAGAATTTCGGTTTATTGTTAGCGTTCGAGACTTCTATAATGTCAAAAGTCTATAGTTGATTGAGCGAATCAACAAAAATAGTTTAGATTTCAGCATGTTTCCATTTTCTGGAGCCAACTAGTCGAAATAGCGGATTATCGCTAGGAAAAGTATCGTGCACAAACAAACAACTTACTTTGTCGCACCATTGCTGAGTTATGTGAGTATGCAAGAGATGGCTGGAGTCAACTATGCGCCAGATGTCAGCGGCAACGTCTGTTATGCTGGAGATCGGCGGCAATTTGCTATCGATCAGAACCCGAGTGACCCACCTACTTATCGCCACATACGCACCCACCGATAAGGATCAAAGTTCAGTGCCACACGACTGTTTACGTTCGGCAATTTGCCGCAACTCAAGTATGACTGCTTATATAAAACGTTTCGCTAACATCAACAAACCAAAAATGCAAACTATTACGGCTAGTCATGTTTTGAGGTTCAGCTAAGATGTTTGTGCTGGATTTCGCCGTAATCATCCAGCGGTAAAAAACAACATCAAAAAGTTTCATACTTTTACCCTGTACTGGGTAACATTGCAAACAAAAAACCTACAATGACTATTATGACTGCTTCTAAGTGAATTGTATGGTACAGGGAATCACTTTGCAGAATTTGGTGTGGAATTCAAAGGCTACAAATCTCGGAGCTACAGTGTCTGTTTTCTTCCTTCCCCCCCCCCCACCCTGAAATAAAAAAAAAATCCCAGGGATCTATATGGCGCAATTCCAGCAATAAATTGTTTGGAGCGTGAGCTATTGACAAACTATTAGGGATGCCTCACAGACATCGTGACCATAGCGCAAATCTTCTCACGTGAATAACGCCTTAAGAATAAAACAAATCCAAAAAGGATCAAAAGCCAGAAAATTCATAGAAAACAAATTGATTAAAAAAACTCGCCGTTCTGTTTCACGACCGCAGGATGTTCCTCTTTCTTGTTATGGTGCTTCTTCTTATTTTTGTGGGTAGGCTCTCTAGCATCACCTCTGACTTCTTGGATTTTCTCGTTGATCTTCTGCTGTTTCAACATCTGTAATAAATGATAACATAATGAAGACTGTCGTGAATGTGCGCAGAATGAGTGAGCCGAAAGAAAGGCAGAGAGAAGCCTGGTCACTATGCTCCGGAAAATCGATACGAAACCACTGCCGTCTATTGCTACTAAGTTCACCTTGCTCGTTCCTATTCCCATAGAACGTGATCGCAGAACATATTTGAGGATTGTTGACTCACCTGGTCTTGATGTGCTTTTTCCTGCACTTTCATGTATGCAACTACGTTTAGCGCAGCCTGTCGACACTCTTTTTCGCTTCCACAGTTTCCTGCAACCTAAATTCAGACTGTTACCAAAACAAAACGAGAAATCGCTAGGGAGAACGAGTCCTATCTTGAGGCAAAGGGGTCCAAAATGTGATTCCGATTACCTTCAATAAATCCGGCACCAAGGGGTTCTTCTTCAAATCAAGCCACTTCAACGCAGTGAGGTTAGAAAACGAAAGAGGTAACTCCTGAAAAACAACCGATTGTAACTTATACACATCAACGCAACCGCCAGCTGATAATACCTGCGTTAATTGTGTGCACTTTGAGATTTTAAGAAAAATGCAGCATTCAAAATGGCGCAAAAGTGCCTTTCTCATGAATTCAAATTTTCGAACAGCATTTGCTTGTTGTGAATCCGGCTTATCTAACAAATTACCAAAAATGGTAGAAATTGTATGCGCAAAAAAACTAAGATTGCGTAACTCCTCCATATAAAGAAGTTTACTTGAGGCCTCATTCACAATACGATGATAAGAAAAAAGCGATGAACAAACCTCAATCTGATTATTGTAGAGATCAAGGTGTTCGAGATGGGTGAGCGCTCCTATGTTATCAGGAAGATGATCGAGCTGATTGCTACCGAGTTCAAGCCTGCACAGGTAGAAGATGAAACAGATGCAGAAGTTCTACGAAACTCATTTGCTGACTTTGCGGTAAGATTCATCGAATCAAAAAGTCCCAGAAAGATCTACCTCACAAGCCGTGTCATAGTGCATAACGAAGCTGGCAAGACTGTGATCTTGTTCGATCCCAGATCAATGCTAGTCAACCGTGGGACCTAGAAATGGAAATTGCGAGCAAGATTCCAAAGGAGAAAAGACAAGCCAATTCTCTCCACTCAACTATATTCGTCCAGTGATCAAAGTGCAACATCACTATACATGCTCTATTATAACACATGGTCTTTGATTGGAAGCACCAGTGGCCGTATTCATCAACGAACCCCGAGGGTCAAACTAACCCTGGAGGGTTAGTTTAACCCTGGAAAGCGTTTAACCCGTATTCATGAAACACAGGGTAGGCTTAACCCTGAGGGTTAAATCTAACCTTGAGGGTTAATTTTACCCCGAAAGCGACTAACCCGTATTCATCAACGAACCGTGAGGGTTAAACTAACCCTGGAGGGTTAAACTTACGTGATTCATCAGGGTTAATTTAACCCTAGCTCAGAGCAAGGTTAACTCTACCCTAGCACTTCATACAAACATTTACTCGCATGTAGTTTTATAGAAAACGATTAACGAGTGTTGTAGTACTTAGTATTAGTTGTTATAGTATCTAGTTTCAACTTCGTTTCGTGTTCAAATTCAAAGTATTACATGAAACACTGACTTCGCGAGAAAAAAAATCCTAGCTTGGTGACAAATGAATGCAACGAGGAAAAATGGTTGCGCATTCCACTCTGACAAGTGCCAAAACTGAAGAACCCCTTTATGATAACACGCACTGACCCCTAAAAAAGTAGCATAAGCCCGGTATAAAACGAATTACGCAAAAGAACTTACACGGCACAATGCACACATGGAAATAAACTTACGCTGTAAGAGTGGATGCTGCACAAATATGCTAGAGATGTATTTCAAAAACTAGTGCTAGAAGCTTATTCGTTGATTATACTACTATAACAGTGAAGGAATAGAAGTATAAAGTAAATTTAGCGTACTTAGGCATTCTGTGATGTGAGTTCGCACAGCGCACGCATAACTGACGCCTTAACCCTCCAGGGTTAGTTTAACCCTCAGGGTTCATTGGCCGTATTCATCAACCATAGGGTTCGTCGATGATTACGGCCACAGGTTCGTTGATCGATACGGGTAGATCGCGTTCCGTGGTAAACCCTAGCCTATGGTTGGTGAATACGGCCAATGAACCCTGAGGGTTAAACTAACCCTGGAGGGTAAGCTTAACCCTCAGGGTTCGTTGATGAATACGGCCACAGGAAACGGCTTTTACAAACCAAATTGTCTACCATGAATTACCTGGGGCAAAGCCTTGGGGACAGATGTGAGACCCCTAGCAGACAGGTCGATTTCATTATCTTCAGCAAGATCTTTTAGCTCCTTCAACGAAATTTCGGACATCTAAAGAAACGTAGAATTTGAATGAGAAGTGTTTGATTAGCAGAGAAAGAGGCCACTAGAACAACACGCAATCACAGAGCGGCAGCGATATACAAGTGGGAGATGACCAGTACATGACAGCAACACTATGAGACGTATTGTTTATTTCAACATTTCAAAGCACCCTATGATATGAGTACATGTGTACTAGGACAACCATTATGGAAGTGAATGGAATTTCCCTGAATCAACTTAAGTCAATGGTACGCGTTTTAGCAATATTCAAAAGTTCAAGCGTGGGTGTTCAACGTCACTAGATCAAAGCTCGGTTTTTGGCTTCTTCTTTTCCTTCGTTATCTTATGGCTTTTCTCCTCTGCTTGTTTTTGTCGCTCCAATCGCTCCAGCTCTTCCAGCTTCTTCTTTGCTGTATCTTTGTCGTAAGGATTAACAAAGCTAGAACAGATACTGCATTGAAACGAATCTCTGATTGGACACAATCTACTTTTCAGGTCTCGGGATTATTTGGTGTTGCTGCGCCATCAGTTTCAGCATTTTGTTCGTAGCACTATCACATAGTCCTAGGTAAGCCGGTATAAGTCATGCCAGCAAAGAAGAAACATTAGCAACACGTACTGAAGGCAAAATGTGAAAAAGCACAAACCGCTCTCTTCAGCGTAATTATAGGCCCAAACTACCACAGTCTTCAATTTGCGATCCTTCTCTATCGTTTTCTCCAAAAATGGAAACCTCACAGACAAATCGGCAAAGAATGCAATATTCTCAAGAACCTGAGTTTGATAGTTTTGTAGCAAATAAAACAGCAACAAAAAACGTGGCAAACCTTTGACAAAGCACTTCGCAACGTTTCACTGTCGTGTGGGAATGGATCAGTGGCACGATGACCAATTCTCTCCAACGTTTCGCGATTTTCTTCCAATAACTTCTTGACACTTTTCACTACCTAAGTTACTGTAGGCAGAATCCGGTGTGAAAAAAAAAATGATTATAGGGGTGCCTGGGCAAAGCGAACTCAGATAGCTGATAAAGGACGATACACGCTTCATCGAGAGGCGAAATAATATGAACAACTCCGCCAACAATGCAGCAAAGCACATGCAGCCTGTTCTTCTGGACGTCATATGTTTGTATCAACGCCTCACAAAAAGCATACAAAGGATGAAACACTGATGCAATGGGGACAAAAATGAAATCTGCTAAACACACAAGTTATGAAGGACCTAATAGTAGTCGTGATCGCCACTGTAACGGACTCAAGTCAGAATATTTCCCCGCTCCAAACTCCTGATTCGAGGTATTTACAAAAGATGGAGACTTAAGAACAGCGCAGCGTGTAAATCATGCCAAACATGTTCTCTGCACAAGGAATGACTTTTAAAGTGGTTTAAAACATATGCAAAAAAGGTAGATTCATGAAAGAGGCAAGATATCTTACTTCTTCAACATAATGTCTCCTCTTAGATTCTTCGATATTGACGATCGATTCAATAGCACCATGTTGATCTCGTCGTTTCCTTTGAAACTCCTCTAAGTCTAAAAAAGCATAGCTAATTGCAATTCAGAAGTTAAGACCTTTGAGGCCCTGGATAAACTTCACGCGATTTGATCGTCGCGACTCAATCGCCGACATTTCCATTCATTTTCATTTCACATTCAAAAATTTCGGGCTGGAAAAGTATCACAACCGAATGCAAGTTGATCGGCATGGAATGATGTTGTAACAGTTGTCTCCTCGCGATTCAGTCGCGACGATCAAATCGCGTGAAGTCTGTCCGGGGCCTAAGACAAACTAGCAGGCCGCCTGCCAGGACAAAGAAGAAGAGATGCACAGCAACACCAAAGCTATAGCATTGTAGTCTGTCCAATTTTCTCATCTTTTACACTTTCATTCAATTAGACTGTCATTAACTACACAAGACTGATTGCACAATCTAATATATAAAGAAACGTAAGCGCAATTCAAAAATCTGCAGATAGCGGGAAACCGCGTGAAGGTCCCGAGCGAACGCTCTTGCAGATAGCACCTTTAGACTACTGGTCCACTAGTAAAATCATTGAAGCATACTCTTTTCTACAAGGATCTCAGACAGGTGCTGCTATCTTAAACACCAGAAAAGAAGCGAATGTTCTATCTGATGTCTCCAATGTGGACTCCAAAATAAACTACATTTGATTTTAAATCATGAACGGAGCAAAAAGCGATGCAGCGGAAATATTCGAGAAGGTTCCAATTGGTGGAAAATGTGAACTTGTAACAAAGATGGCTTGCTGCGGCAAGATTTTATCAGCGGCTTAAAAGCCGCTGATAAAATCTTAATCTGTGTAAGCTTTGCAAAGAGCGAAATCAAAAAAAAAAATTCAAAAAAGATCTCCAGGAAAAGATCTCCTTAGTGGAGAAACTGGAGTGACAAAGCCTATTTACAATTAGATTACCAGATAGGGGAAAAACTCACATAATTTCCGATGGTCGACGGGCTCGTGCTGCTTGTGCGCTACCACTTTGTGCTTCTCGCCCTTGTCCACGTGTCTGTCGTGGTTCACATCAATTTTTGCAACAGCGTGATACGATAAGCAGGCGAACAGCAATAAAACAACCGCGAATGTCATCTCGAAGCAATCAATAACAATTCCGATCACGTAGCGCTAACACCCCAAGTCAACAACGTGAAGAGTTGACCGTTGTTTACCTAACTTAGTGTGTGAAAGGTATTGAGCGGGTAGAACTGAATTATTGGGATTGAAGAATATGCACGACAAGAATGTGTTATATTCAACTACATTTGAAGAGAGAGAAACAAACAGAAAAAAGGGAAGGCCTCGGCCCGACTTCACTCAAAAGCGCCAAAAAGCGCAGAACGCCCCTTTTTTGAGCGTGACCCTTGACGCTGGAGCGTTAGTTTTGAAAATTCATTCATTCAAGATACAACGGTTAATCCTGCTAATAGTCAGTCGTAGTTTTGACTGGTGATTTCAAAAAGGCGTGCCGCGGAAAGGGTTCTCAACTCTTATAAGCGCTTTTGGGCGCCTTTGAGCGAAAGCTGGCCGAGGCCTCATCCATGATGTTGCTTGCGCTCATTGCATGACAAACGATTCAAAGTTTGTACAGCTGTCTGGGCATGTTTTTGGAACTTGCATGAAAAAATATGATGAAACGCAAATCCGCAGCTAATATTTCGAAACGTAGTTTGTAGTAATGCTGCAAAATTTCATGCTTGTTAAGACAATAACATTTTCCTTCGAATAAGAATCTGAGCGATGACTGAGCATGAGTAAAAGAGATCAGGGTAGAATAGAACTGAGTACAACAGCGGTAAGCAAAAACAAGGAAGAAACCGCAACATGCAATCGTTTCTCTCAAAAAGCCGAACGTCGAACGTCAAAGTTTGTAATGGCGCCCAAGCGGGAACTCAAATGAACAGTGTAGGACAATTCTGCGCGCAAGCGGCGCGCAGTCACGGCCAGCAGGGCAGGCGGCGCGTAAGCTTACCTCAGCCAACAGGCGGTGCGCAATGAGTGGGGTGTGGTGCGGAAGGCGGCAGTCCCCAAATCTTGTGCCTTTCAAAACTCTTCGGTACTAAAGTGACACGGCGCCAAGGTAGGGGGGGGGGGTGGGGCAGACACACGACTCGATGCCATAAGTAGGTAAAATTTTGTAAAAAGTAGCAAAAGCGATTTTACAGTGCTCGCATTTTGCGGGCATTGTCGCCTTCCGCGTGCCCTCCCAATCAGGGTCAAGCTTGTGATGCGACTGTCGCAACGGGGAGTCGTAAAGAGGGTACCGAAGGTGGGCGGGTGTCGTAAGAGAAGGTAGTTAGGCTAAAATACCCTAAGCTTGAAAGGAAATCAAAAAGCAGATAATTAGTTATGTTCTTCACAATCTTATATATAAAGCTGAATGTCTGCTTGTATGATCGTCTCCACGATTCGTGTAGACTTTACCTGATAGCACGGGTAAATTTGTTAAACCTCCACGTCATAGCATTGTTTTTCGTAATCTCTCGCCACCAAAAATCGCCACGCTTTGAGTTGGCAAAACCCCGCCTCTACACGAATCGTGGAGTCGATGATATGTACAGGGCTTTTCAACCTGAGAGTCGCAAGTTTCGCTTGCGCGGCTCCTCCAACGCGGCCGCCTCGCTCAGGCCGCGCGCGGCGTTTGCTGCGTATCGCCCGGATTTCGCCAAGCTTCAGTCGACGCGCAGCCAGCGCCACGAACGCTGCGCGGACCTAAGCGTGGCGTCCTAGCGGGGCGGGTGGGACACTCAGGTTGTAAAGCCCTGTACCTACCTATGTCTGTATGTACGTATGTTCTGAATATTTTATTTCTGAACCGATCCGGACCAAACTTGGCACACATACACTTCGGGCCCCGGCGGATGTCATAGGCTACTTTTTGTCATCGAACGATATCGATTTTATCGATTTTTATCGATTTTTTTGCAGAGTTCACCTACGGGACTGGGAGTTGGCACAGGGGGTAAGTGAGCATGGGGATTCCGAATACAATATTAGTCTTCAGAATTATCGATTACTTCTGTCGATTTTATTGATTATTTTGCAAAGTTTGAGCTACGGGGCTGGGGGTTGTTGAGGGAGGTAGGTGGGCATGCTAATTGCTAATACAGCGGGAATAGGGAATTGCATGTAGAAGTGGGCACAATGAAAGGTTTTACAGGGATAAGGATAAGACCTTAATCATAGCATTGACAGGGCCGGGCGGAGCCGGGTAAGCCAGCTAGTAAATCTATAAAAAAGTGGAAATCGGAATAAAAAAGATAAAAAATGTGTAGAAGTTCTCAAAAAAAACATTTACAAAAGCTCAAAACACCTTTGAAGGATGTATGGTTTGATATAGATGCTAAATGTACCGATTGCCCTAGAAATCTTGCTTCTGAAGCTCTCCTGAAGTCTCATACACGACAAAAGCGAATATCTTTACCAGCTGTGACCATCATAAATTTCTAAATCTTTTTGTAATGTTTTTCACAGGCCCATATGATTTATCTGTACTTTGGAGATGCTCCGCTACATCAGTGCAAAATTTGGTGTTATTTTGTCAACTGTGGATTTTCTTATAATTTTATGTATGGTAGCAAAAAATCAGGAAAGGGGGGTCGTATCTGGGTCGCATCTAAATTTTTTCGGAGTTATCAAAGCTTGTCGGCTGCAATTCTGCTGTAATATGAGTCCATCCTTCTACTTTCCTCATAAAAATTGCAAGCTATTTTATAATTTCTCTGGTAAGTTACAAAATTTTAAGCTTAGAATTCCCAGTTTTTGCTTTTTAGGATCGCATCTAAAATTTTTTCGAGCTTACTGCTCCTCATGAGCTGAAACTTTTTCTTTGGATAGTCTGTGCACTATACTACAGAACCTGTGCTTTGCAACCTCTCAGTCTTTTCCTGGCCTTAGTTACGAATTTTCAAACTACCGTGCTCATGCACGTTTTTGACGTCGTTCTGGAGGGCGCTCAAACGGTTTTTTTCGCGAAAAACTGTGGAAGAGGTACAGTCCATGTTAATTACCTGTTCCCTTTTCCGCAAGCGCAAGAGTTTCGCGCCGCGTTCGCGCGCGTATGGCTCGAGCACTCAAATTGGCCTCATCGATTGGTGGCCAGCGCGCGGGCTCTTGCGTCGTGCATGCGTAGTTCCCATGCGAAAGGGAGTACGTAATTGACATCGACTGTAGGACGTAAGCTTTTTAGTGGAAAACATTTTTTGTAGTTCAAAAATGTCATTTTTTTTCTCCGTGCAAAAATTTGCCTACGGGAATCGAATTTGCTGGTCTGAAGTATGCCTGAAAATTCAAGAAAAAAAATTGCAGATTCTCAAACATTATTGAAGGTGTGTTTGTGTGCTACGATGCTGGACGCACCCATTGGCCCAGAAATTCTGCTTCAGAAACCTCACTAAAATTCTCACGCAGGTGTTTTTTGAGACTGACATTCGTTTATGCAGGTTACCGCGAGGAATGTGGGCAGGGGAGGTAAGGGGGATAAATGGCGGAGGGTGGGGAGGGGAGGGGAAAGGGGGGGGGGTCGTACGGATGGGTACCTTCAAGGGGGGGGTCGTAAATGAGGGTCCCGGATCGCATCAACACGCTTGACCCTGCTCCCAATGAGGACAGTAGATCCGCTCTTAGGTGGGGATACATCTATTGGAGCACGAATCTTGTTTGGAGCGCCGTGTCCTACTCCTAGTTTTCCGAGTATGAATGAAGCTGCACGTCGAGAAGTACGCCGCGCGCGGCGGCCCTTTTTCGCCGCGTCCAAATCCTCGGGGCCTCTAAAACTCTCCGCCATAGAGATTGCCAGTGGCAAAAACAGGGGGAGATAGGGAACAGAGGATACATGATTAATACTATGAGTAAGATTGCGCCAGGAGCGCTGCTGTTGTAAGGGCTGGAGTAGGTTGCGGCGTTGCTTCTCGAAAAATTCGCGCCGAGTACCTCCTGACCGTCCCCCCATTTTGGTAGGTGCCAGAGTAAGCGAATATTTTGTTCAAGTTGGGGTCCCGCGCAGAACTGGCATCACTAATCATTGTGGCACAACGCCAAGTTGGCATTATGCCACAATGACTAGTGATGCCAGTTCTGCGCGGGACCCCAACTTGAACAAAATATTCGCTTACTCTGGCACCTACCTTTGCCCAAAGCACTTTAGGACCTTCTTTTTCACTGCCTTAGCATACTCAGCGTGTGATAGCAAAGTGACGGTTTCGAATACGAATTCCAAAAGCACTCTTTTCAAAGCTTAGCTTCATCAACTGGAGCAACTTAACACTTGGCTTAATCTGCCTATTAGAACGTCTCGTTCAGCGGAACACGTGAAGATTGTAGAACTTTGATTCGGCATGTGCACTACTTAGCGTATGCCTCGATTACGCGCCCGAGCTAGCGATGGGATTTCGAACAGAAACTGTGACCTTCATTTTCGATGAATAATTTAGTCTAGTTGCAGTAAATACATGTCACCGTACATTTCTTCGATGAAGAACTTTCTTAAGATATAGGAGTAACAAAACTTCTGAAAAACATAACATGACGAAGAGAGCCAAGCGAAACAGTTTGCGGCAAACGTTTCATAGCATTTTATAGCAGATGAAGTAACCATTAGCACCTTAAAATAATTTGTGACTCACCTCTCCAAATTTCTCCATATCATTCAAGTTAACACAGCGTCCGACTTTCGGTGCTTCTAAAAATCACCCAATCGAATCAGGGAGAAAAGACAATTATTTATTCTTCTTTGCAAACTGATCACTCTATTGATTGGCTGCGTCACAAAAAACTTTCCTGTTCAAGTTAGACATATGCGAGATCACGTTACCCATGTGAATGTAAGGAAAGACGAGGAAAATGACGGCGCACAACGAAAATTAGGTAGAAAAGAAATGCGAAAGTCGAGAATCTCGACACATGAGGCAAGCGGAGAAGAAAAAGAATGATAATGCATAGAATTATTAACAGGGAATGGATAATAGAAGGATAATAAGGCATGCTAAAGGCTTTACGATTGATCATCTCAGCAGAGAAAGAATTGCAGTGAAATGAAAAATGATACATAGAAATCTCCCATAAAATACGAAAACGACATGAATAAAAGTGATGTAAGTAACTATGTAAAAGAATGAAATGTAATCTAAACACTGCAGAAAAGGTCACTTGCGCCATATCTCTTCGTGCCGACAGATCCCATTTTGGCAAATCCTGCAGACTTCTCCTTCATTTACACATTTCATGTGTACCTAAGCCTGCACACGGAATAGTTTCAACAACGCTATAGTACATCGTTCTCGCCGTCTTCTTCGAGGTTCTCTTCCCGCACACAAAACAAGTCAACGGAGTGCGCGATCAGTTTCCTTCTTCTCCTCCTTCAACGCATTTCTCTGAAAAATATTAACGCACTTCTCATGCCAATCTCCACTTTTAGTGAACCAATTACGCTTCGGAAAGGTTGTATTCGACCTGGGACCGGACCAGCCCCAACTGTCTGTAGTGGTATTCTGCGGATAGAAAGCTGTCCTACTAGCTCTTTCGGGACCTGCTCAAGTGCGTGTTGTATATTTCTGTAGAGGATCGTGAGCGTAGCAGCGTCGTTGCTTTTGAGAAGAACATGAGCAACTTCTGATACTTGAGCTTGAGCCTATAATGCACTATTCAATGCCTTTGGATATAGCTAGGACTTAGCTTACTCCTTCGACCAGCTGGTATGCAATTTTTGCTGCATCTTGGTCGAGTACACAATCGGCAGTATGATCTTCCTGTGCGAGAGTGTGGCAGTTGTCGACTTTGCCTGAGTCCGCTCCATGTATGGCGATGATGAAGTCTTAGCTTGGTAATTGCTCCGCAACCGCATGAGGGCTTACGCTGAAAGTAAGCTTGGTAACTGCATTAACATGCCAGTGAGCCTACCTTGTTCTGCGAACGTAATGACGGCATGAGCATGGTGGCACGATCCGCTTCTGTAGCCCTCTACACAGTTGCATTCGACTTGGAATGCGCAGAGGCCACACCTGCCACAGTGTGAGTTGAGCCTAAAGGCAGTGTCCGGGCAAAAACTCGATTTTGAGATTTTATGCTTATCCGGGCCTATTCGCTGTGCTGAATCCGAAAATGCACATTCTTAGACAATCGTTGGGGGCAGGCGGGCACCGGAAAATAGATTGCTGATTTCTGGCACCCCGCTCGCGGATTTTTTGCAAAGCAATCAGGACTTTTCGGAAGACCGCTTGCTGAGTCAGCGGATTTTTGAGAGACCGCCTGTTGAATTTTTTTCTCTCTTATCTTTTGCAGATATATTGCTGAATCTCTGAGGAATCGAGAACTCAGCAAGCGGTCATCCGAAAAGTCCTGATTGCTTTCCAAAAAATCCGCGCGCGGGGTGCGAGAGATCAGCAATCTGTTCTTCCGGTGCCCGCCTGCCCCCGGCGATTGTCTGAGTTGGAGAGCGCGAAAACGGCGAAAAACGGCTCTAACGCAGCAGGGAAATCAGCAAATGAGCGGGATCCTTCCCACTATGAATTCGCGCTCCCAGCTTCCGGAGCGATCTTCTCGCTTCTAGTTTCAAGTCAGTCATTCGCACTTGGCCGGTAGCGATGTTAGAGCGGCTAGTGGACTCGAGAAGACCGCTCTGAAAGTAGCGCGAATTACAGTGGGGAGGGCCCCGCCCACTTGCTGTTTCCCTCCTGCGCTAGGGCCCTTTTCTGCCGTTTTCGCGCTTTCCCATGTGGATTTTCGGATTCAGCATGGCGAATAGGTCCGTATAAGCACAAAATCTCAAAATCGAGTTTTTGCCCGGACACTGCCTTTAAATATGTATGTATTACATGCGTACAGGAAGTGTCAAGATTGACTCACTTTGTTACTGCAGTCACAGGCTTCGGCGACCGTGACTATAAAATTGTTGTCGTTGGCTTTTGACTTGACTTCGCAACTATTTTTGCTTTTCTGAACGATGGCAAGCTGAAGTAGACTGGTTGATCTTCATGATTTACCACGCAAAGTATACCCTCAGTATTGTTTTTGTATGCGATCAAAGCCTCTTTGTGTTTTGCGATGTTTTCTTTCCATCGCTTGGATGCGGTCCCTCCACGCACAGATTTGATTCTGAGGTGAACATTATCCACACTGAACTTCAACCCACCAATGAAAGAAGCTGGAAATGTCGGTTTTGCTGGAGCTTTGTCAATGCGTAAATGACCGTATCAAGGCGATTATTCTGCTTCCTCCCAAGTATGATGTGTTTGAATATATTGTGAAAGGATTCTGCATGATTGCATGCCGTAAAGGATATTCGTTGACAACTGCCCCGACTCGTAATTACACCATCGTGGATGCGCCTTTTAGGAGCCTTCCCAGCTTGACAGTACGCTGCGGCGCGCGGGACTTGAGAGTTCGCAGTATCCTTGCCCTTTAACCTCTTTCGTCTGCTAAACATTCCACATCGTTTCTTTTTTATTTTCGTTTCAGGCAGTTACTCATTTTAATAACTATGTGAGACCATCGCCGCGGGCAAAGTTAAAAGAAAGATGAGATTTCTTCGTAGTTGCAGTGGTGGTTATCATGGCAGATTAGAATTGCATGTTTTCTTCGATGTTTTGCAATGATTTGACGTTTACTCAGGACAGACCACTGAAAGGTTGCTTCAGCACTTATATCAGGGACACATGTGGTAAATAAACATTCGAGTGATCTCATCTAAGGAAATGCATGTTAGTCATTATTACTCATGAACAAAGCATACGTTTCCCCCTAACTTTACCCGGAGCGATGACTCACGATTTTGAAAATGAATGTTTTGTACGTAAAGAGGGGGAGTAATTCAGGAAATGTGCCCAAGGTGATTTCCTTACCTTTCAGTATTCCTTGAAGTAGAACGTAGGATATTCAACCACGGAGAGAAACTAAGAGAAGCGGGAAACGATTTACTGCCTGAAATATAAATAAGAAGAAAAAACGATATGAAATGCTCAAATCAAGAATAAGAGATTAAAGGACAGTGTTGCTGCGAATTAGCAAGTGCCCGCGCGCTGCACGAACTGTCCAGCTGGAAAGGCTCCAAAAAGGTGCGCTCACGGTGGTGTGATTGCACGAGTCGGGGCAGTCGTCAACGGATATGCTTTTAATCGTGCTTTCTCTCGGTAGCAGATGCCCATTCCTGTCTACGATTGGAAAAGCTTCTTTCTACGTTCTGAAAAGCTTCATAATGCCAGAAAAGGAAAGATATTGGAAACAATCTTACGTTCAACATATCGGTAGCACCAATGCGGACTAGCCACGACATGTAAGAAGCAAACCCAATTTCAAATTTTACTTTATCTTTTCTTTATTTTCAAGCAAGATTGAGCGAACTAACTTTTCGACCGTTGGTAGAAATTCAGCCTAGAAAGTGATACACTTGGGTAACCTCTTGATGAATGGGAAACAGTGAATGAAACCTTGAGATGCTCCTTATGCTTTCTCTTGAAAATTTAAGATACATGAAAACTGCATAACACATTCTTGGTATGGCTGTGAGGGAAAATTGCTTTGAAAGCATTGTAGAATGTGTATGTATCATCAGACATAAAATATGCTGGGTCGAATTCGCAAACTGACTGCTGTAGAACCAAGGATTAAGAAACAATCACAACAAGGCCAGCTAAATCCTCTTTTTTCAAACATATGCTGAACTTCGGCTGAAGTCATTCTGTACGATATGAGGTGCTCGCAAGGGAATCCATTCCCACTATCGCCCGTCACAAACAAAGTTGCCAGCCGGAAAGCGTACTTGGTCACATTGAAGGTGTCATCGCAGATTACTCCGCGATGACCATACCGTTCAATGTATTCGTTTCCTTGTATAAAGATAAAAGCTGAAGAAAAATCACTGACATTCAACCAAGATGTGGAATTGGTTTACCTAGAACAAATCCATCTCTTGTCAGTTGCTCCGTTTCTACTGACTTGTGTGCAACAATTTTTTCTCTGGTAGTAATGCCTTGAAAAAGGTGCGATCATTTTCGCAACTTCTGCCTTCAACCTGCTAACGATATTGCTGAAAATTGTAGTCATCTCTCATTCATCGCTTACTGAGCTAACCAGACATCTCTCAATGCGATATAACACGTCTCCTCTTCTGTTTGGAGTCATCTTTGTCTGGATTTCATTCGGACCGTAATTTTGAAACGACCTTAAAGTAAAATTGATGTGTATAGCTACATAAGCGTACGCCCTGCCGAGCTAAATGGCAGTCCGACAGTAAGAAGCGACCGATTCTATTCACATCTTCACGCGATAGCGGAAGAGATGCTGAACTTACGTCGTGACCCAGGTGGCCGAAGCACGATGTTACCTTCACGAGACCGCCCCCCCCCCGCAGCTAAGCCTCCAAAGGTAGGTGAAGAAGGAAGGAAAGGCATTAATATGTTCACCTTGACATAGCAAGGATTCCCCATTTTTGTGGAAGTCACATATCTCTTCTTGAATTCCTTAGCGCACTCTGCTTCCCCTGTGCCTTGGGCACGACTGCATATGTATACATATGTATTTCCTTTGCTGCTCTTCCTAGCGTGCATTTTCAGAAGTTTTGAAACTGTTTTTTCTCTTTTCGCAAAAGTCATGCCTAAACGTATTTCATCACATCATTCTGTAGTGCAGTACCAAAGCCACTTCAAACTCCTGCCATGAAGACATTGTCTCCTTAGATGTTGTAAATGCTAGCCACTATTGCCGTGCGCTATCTGACAATGTTCGGCTAACTCAGCGATGCTACGCAACTTGATATGACATTCTGGACATTCGAATTTTTTATCTTCGTCGTCTTTGGATGTGCTCGGTAAGGTCCCATTGGTGTGAGTCCAAAAAGAAATATACGCAATGTCACCGAAATGCATAATCAACAAAGTCGATGGTGATTGAGTTTAGCATCTTCCGCTTGAGATAAAATTTTGGGGTTTAGTCAATCGGCGGATTAAGGTCTTTACTCAACATTGTCTGAGAAAAAGTAATAATCCGAAATAATCCGGACCTGCACTTTCCCAATCCATATCCACACAATAATTGTGAATGAAAAATTGCACCTAGCTCCTCTTATCTTTTTATGACCACTCAGGCCACCTTCGGAAAATGTCTTGCCGCACGTACTGCACTTCAGTTCAGTGGCATAAACTGCCCTCTTCACGGCCAGTTTCGTTTTTTGAACAGCTTTCTCGGTACAATTATGCGATCTTCGCATATGTTTATAGAGACTGTTCAGCAGGAAGGGTGCTTTCCCACAAACTGAGCATTGCGCGCATGTCCGCATTCTAGAAGAAAAAGTCAGCTAAAAAACATGTAGGCGCGGTCCACGCTAACACGCAAAACAAACAAATTTGTTATTACAAAATTGACACCAAGCAATTACAAACTGAGTTAGAACGAACGAACAGCACTATCTCAAGGAATGGAGCATAAAAGCAGTTGAACAGAACATTGATGCATACACAGCAGAGTGTATGGGCAAGCACGTTGTGCAAGTATGCAGATTTTGCACGTGGTGGGTGAACAATGCAGTTTTTGGTGTGGAGTATTGTGATAACGGCAGTGCGCATGCAGTTCATACAAAAACTCAAAACACGCATGGCAAAGCCAGTGGTGAATGTGAATGAAGCTGATGTAGGAAGCAATGTAGGAATACATGAAAAATAAAGATAAAATGGGAAAGAATGAAATACGTTGACTACGGGACTTACTTAGACTGCGACACATAGTCTAGTTCGGCTGCTATGACTGCAATACTCGTGATAGTGGAAAAGACGAGTGATACATTGCCGCAACATCTCAGCATACCTAGATTAAAGCACTTATTTCTAAGCAGTCGCAACGAGGCTATCGGACCACAACCTTATAGCGCATCTTAACCTTCTATGAGAATCTTAGTCATACTTAGTTTGTTGAAGAAGAAGAAACAAGCTTGAAGAGTCAGTGACTCCATAGTCGCAAGTTTATATACCTTTGCCTTAGATATATGAAAGATCAAATTAACTCAGTCACTCTCGAAGGAACTGCCAACCAGATATGTGAGAATCGCAAAAAATGATTAGGTCAACTCATACAATAACGCAGACATGATTGTTGTTTAGAATTTCGGCTTTTAGTCGTTGATCAGATGTTGGTGCACCTACCTGGATGGTAAAAGGGATGCCAAAATTCAAATCAACACTCACAAGAACCGTGCAGCATAGATGCGCTACTTCGCATTCTTCTCTTGTTTACCCAAATGACGATGACGTGATAAAACCTGCTTGAATTCATAGTATAGCAACGCTCACCTCTAGCTTTGCCGTTATAACAGCGGATAGGATCTGGCTGGGCAATGTGCGTATCACGATAAAATCCAAGATCAGATTGCAAAATCTAAATTTTACCTGTCGTTCTAGGTTTAGATCGGAGTATGAACAGATTCATAATAAAATGTAACTTTTGAATAACACTGGAACTGTCTCGATCCATTTCCCAGTCCACGAAGTGTCGCATGAAAACAATTTGTTCTTTCTCCATCAATGTTACAATATCGCGACATCGCTTATCAGACTTCGGATGTGCCGCTAACATATTCAGGACTGAAGCGATTTGATGGTTATGTGGAGCTTGACAGTCATTGAACGAACATATCGAATAACGAACGTGTGCCATAACGAGAAAAGTGAAAGTTGGGTGTGAAAGTCATGTAAACTTTGCATAGTAGTGCGCGTGCTCATCAAAGTAAAAAGAAGGATAATATAACGAAATTAATATACAACTTTGTTTCGAAGTATTAGTATGAAGAAATCACTTATATCACAAAAAAAAGTGCGAATCCAAGGTTTAGAGTGCTCAGAACAGAGCCTGCTTGTCGACACGCTCGGAAAACAACGAGGAGTGGGACATGGCGCTTTAAACAAGATTCGCGCTTCAGTCGATCATCTTCGGTATCTTCACCTAAAGGCGGATCTACAGTCACTCGTGCGCAATGTCCTTTCACAGGTGATGCGCAACTACAGCGTGCACGCAGGCGGCGCGATGAGCTTCCTAAGGCATCACTTACGGAAACGACCCGCTTCAGATGGAAAATGGATTGGCGGGAGGAGCCCCCTCGTAACGGTTTGCGCCTTTCCGTAGCTACAGTATATCATATAGTGCTGAGAACCCAAGAGAACCCAAGTTTGGGTTGCTTCATTCTCCTCAGTACTTGCTTGGCAAGATGCCAGCGCTATGCGCCGGGAAGTCTCCAGCATAGCAGCAATCTTTCGCCTAATGCGACTGTAAGTGAAGAGGGACGCCCTTCGAGGGCAATGAAAAAATTTCTTGAACTTCTTCGTTTTTTGTTCTTTTTCTTTTACTCAGTACTGCAGTTTTGAATACGAACTCTACAATTTAATGGCACTCATTTATTACAACGGAAAAATGCAAAATCAATAATTCCACAAAAAAGTTGCCGGAGGGTGGAGGATATTCGTCTCGCTGACTGAAAAATGGAATCGCTTCGCATAGGACCTTTTTAAAAAGCAAAAGAAACTGCTGAAAACTGGATAAAAACGCTGCAAAGAGGCTGAAATCTTTCATTTGGCGGCTTTTCAAAGTGCAAGTTTTCGCTCCAGGACCAGTAATTCGCAAAACGGGGTTTTGATTTTTGATGCTTCCTTCAAATTTTTACCCCCGCATTGACGTTCCTGTTTCCTGGGACGTTGTCTGGATTGTTGAGCTTATTTTCTGAGCAATAATCGCCTAAGCTGGAAAAAAAATTGATGCGAAAGCACTGAAACAGAACAAGGTAAAGAAAAACGCACTTTACCATTTTTCGCAAAAAATTCCACCATAATCGAAGAGGTAAGGGCTGGGTGGTCGTCTGCATTATGAACAGAAGCAAGATCTATATGCACGAAAAAACTGCGTGAAAATAGTTAAACTTGGAGAAAAACAAGACATTTTCGAAAACAAGGTTTCTACCGGATTTCTCGTTCAAATCAAAAAAATGTGGTTCTGGGACGTTGTCAGCGTGAAAATAGAGATCAAAAGCTTCAAAATGATATATAGCTTGCTAAAACTGGGTTCGAAAATCGGAAGGATATCAGAGCCAAATGTCCCGCGCCCCGCGTTTGCGGTAGTGAGGTAGCGCGCAGCGCGCGGATCGCGGAGACACAGAAGAACAGCGGAGACAGACTAGAGCCGACGGGGCAGCTCTGGTCGTAGATCTCCGCGGGGTCTCACGAAAGCCTGCAACTACAGGCGATGTCAAAAACCAATTCCCTTTTGTGCAGTTCTCGATTTGCATGCACGCGCCGCAAATCCCGTGCGCCACGTGCGCGAGCGGACGGCAGGGCATTTTGCCAACTCCCACAGACGTCATCGATTGAGGGTTGGCAAGGGCCCAAGCCGTACGCACGCGAACGGAGCGCATCAGCCTTGCGATGCGTACGCGTAAGAGCTACGGACTTGTGAGCTCCTCATTAACATGCACTGTATATATCATTCTGATCGTGATGACACGTCGAGGAGAACTGACTTCGTCCCAAGCTTTGAAAATCACTCGAACGAGATACGACCAGCGTTTTCGTGCGCGACTAGATTTAAGCGCAGTTTCTCGTTTTTATTTAACTCCAATAGCTTTCCTAAACTTCTGAATCGATTTTATTCAAATGAGAGGATAACTGAGAAATTTTGTCTTGAATTCTGGCGAAGATTCCAGAGGAACCTTCTTTTTGAGGTAAAAAAGGCTTTGAAAACGCAAATTCTCGGTTGCGCTGAAATAACCTAAAAATATTATTCCCTATATTTGCGTCGTTGATATTCGTTCCGATATAGTCAAGATAATAACATCCGGGGCGAAACCCCGGATGACTTCTGTTTTTTTTTCAGGTGAAGATTGTGCCCCCCCCCATAGCCCTCAAAGTAAAGGTTACCAGAGTAAGTGGCTCTATGTATCGAAGGTATGGCAAAATCCGTCGACGAGCTTCAGAACCTAGAACAAGAATAAATCAAAGGGCCCGAATTCCTTGAAAAACTTACGCATATAGGTTATTTAGCCTGCTAGTTACGAAAAACACACCTGTTTTGCAAATTAGCGTCTCATTGTATGGTTAGGTAGCTAAAATTTGAGAGAAATCGATTGTTTCAAAATCCACATCCAAAAACGGGGTTTCGAATAGATTTTATTCGAATGTTTTATTCGAATGTTCATTCGAAATTCGTATTCGAATGTACTCCGTATTCAGATTATTCGACTTTGTTGCAGAGCCAACTGCTGTGTATCAAGCTCACTTCGTCCGCGTTTTTTTCGCAAAACTGGTAATGCATCTTTTGCGACGGTATACCTTTGAACTGTATGGAGAGTGTGAATTCGGAATTCACAACTCACTGCAAATAACAAAGGTTAAAAATTGAAAGAACCACCTCTGAAAATCAACAAACCGCATTTCGAAATTTAAAGTATTCATGGAAAAGTGAGTTTGATTTCTAAGAACACTTCATTGGAAAACCAAGGATCCTTACAACTGCAGGTCAACTTTGATAGTTATGGTACTTTGATTTCAACATTTGTAACAGAAAAAACTGTTTCATTTCCTTCTCATTCACATCTGTGATAGTTTTTTTCGGCGTAGTTTTATATTCGACTGTATGGTTCTCAATGAAATATGGCTTTTCTCTGCTGTTCAAAATGATATAGATATTGAGGATATCACGCTATCATTGATCTACTCAGTTTGATTGACCTACTTTGCCAAAAACCCCGAAAAATCCTCCTCTATTCACCCTTGTTTATTTGCATGTTTCTCATGAAGCTTGAAATTTTTGCTGTTCCAAATGATTTCGAAGATATCACGCTTTCCTGAGGCTGATTTCGCACCTCAGAGGGACGAGCTGCGAGGAAATCTCTCGGCAACAGTTTTTGACGACGAGTATAATTACTGTACCATCTGCAGCGGTTTTGCCGGCAGCTCTGGCAGCTGGCTGCGGCAGCAGTCGGCTGCCCGGGTGCCACTTGCACGCCTTCCGAGTCGCATTCTTCCGACTGCTTGCGACAGTAAAAAAGTCATATGTGGATTTTATTTGATGTTTTTTCGACCAATGAGATGTGCGCACTGCTGTTGGCACCAAATCAGCAAAGAAGATATCAAATTCAAGCTCATGTTCTAAGTTCATACTGAATTGAAATGGCTTTTCTTCTTTCTTTGCATTGCTCGTGCTTGCGGTACGCAAAGCCTACACCAGTGAGCACTTTTGCTCGCATAAATTACTGCAAAACTGCCTATTCGTTACCTTGAAGTTTTTTGCGAATTGGTGTATATTGAGTAAAGGACATCGCAGTTGTAGTGCAGGATTAGACGGTTTAGATCGCCGTACGCGATTTGCCAGTTACGAGATGTCTTCAGATGTAATGGCAGCTTATCACAAATGTTTAGCGTGTACAACATACTAAAAAGATAAATGCTCTGCATTCTGTACTTTCAGAATAGGTTTTGGACAATTTGAGCATTGCCATACCACGTCGCCACTGAAATGCCTGCAGTATGCTCGGGGTTATAGGGGTATTCGTGCTCGCTTCGCGGAGGAAACCACATGCCTTCGTCCACGACTAGCTTATACCACACAAGACGAAAGTCTCCGATGAACAGGCAATGTATCGTAGCATTTGTGGAATTTGAGTACATATGTCCACTTTAATGCTTCAAAAAATCGCGCACCTAACGCTATGAATCCGAACATCTCGTTAGGTGCTTACACCATGTTGCAATGTTTCTCATTTTTAAATTTTAGCTCCAGCCAATTTTATTTTTACTCTGCTAAACATCTTTGAAATCTAGTGGA